TACATGTTCAAGAGCAGCTGTTGTTAAAGTGTTTAAAGACCGGACTGTCAGCCGAAAATCTGGGTCTGAACGTGCGAATTGTGGCCGTCAGCGACTAGTCAATGTTAGGGCAGAACGGGGGAGGGGCAAGACTTGTACAAGACAACAGAAGGGCAACAGTGCCGTGTCAGGTTCCTCGCATCACCTTTCATCATCTCTTGGAGTCACCAGGCGGCCCAACGAAGTACTGATGGGGTGGTCATAATAATCTGGCCACTCGGTGTATATATATTGGATACAATGGGATAATGCAAATTAAACAATTGTCATGTTTCATTTTAATATATATATAGTATATTTCTCATGTAAGTAAGCACATTGATATTCTTGTTGTGTATCTATTAGCAAGGTGAAGATTATACAATAGAATTAACAATTGCACTCCGGTGTCTCATCAGCATTCCACCACCATACTAATTCCCCTCCAATTAGCCCCAGACATGTCTGTGTTTTGCACCGGTGGCATCACAGCTCTTGCTCATTACGGCTCATCATCACCCCAGCGGCAGGTGTGTTGGCACCTGGGGTGATGTCACTGCACGGAGGGGGGTGTTGGCGCAAAAGGGAGGAAACCGCCAACCCAGGTGTCTGAGTGTAATCCTATATAATCCGCCCTGGAAACATCAAAGTTTCCATTGATTGAGAAGCTGCAACATGGCCAACCTGTCAGTAAGGGCTTTAGAGGGATGAGGGAAATGAGAGGGAGATAATGTATGAATATGACAGAGAATTTCCTTCGCAGGCCGGGAAGTTACATTGTACAAGTTTATAACAAGGCTCATGTTTGCTTGGATGGGATGTTGAAGCAGATTCCCGCTGGAAGACCACCGCCGAGAGATTTGATTGAATTGAAACAACTTTTATGAAAACTCAACATGTTCAGGAACAAACATTGCTCTCTCTTCAGGATCTAAAGAGGAAGTGATACTCTCTCCAAAACTTGTTGGGTTTTAATGGGAGCTTTCAATTGTTGGTCTTCCAATGGGGTTTCCAGCACGTATGTGTAGAGGAGATCTTTTATGTTTCCAACCAGCATTTTGTACACGTTGGAAGACCCCTGAAAGGGGAGTGATGCTCTCCCTGGAACATGTTGAGGAGCTCTCAGCTGTGGTCTTCCAGCACATTTGCTTAGAGGAGATTTCTTACGTGTTTAATGTGTTCGGTTTAATAAAAGCTCCTAGTTGGGGTCCTCTAATGGGGTTTCCAGCACATATGCGTAGAGAAGATCTTTTATCTTCTCAACCATTTTCCATACTATGGATGAATTTTCTAAATAGGAACCTGGAGAGGGAGCGATGCTCTCTCTGAAACGCATTGGATTTTAATCAAGGCTTCGCGTTATGGTCTTTCAATGGGATCTGCTTTAACATCCTATCCAGTCTTGTGGGCAGCAACTTCAGGTGAACCCCTGAAGAGGGAGCGATGCTCTCTCCGAAATGTGTCTGGCTTATTGGGGGAACAAGTATCTTGCTGCACTCCTTACAGGATAACCATACCTGATATACAGGTGGGTGCTTGAAGCGACCACGGCTGGCACAGTGAAAAAACGGAATGCATAGAAATGTCACCAGCACACCAATGGTTCAATGAAGAATGTGAAAGTCCATTTATTGAAGGAACATCGCCATTCGAAAAATAGCGCTTTCGGGGCCAAACAGGGTCCCCTTCATCAGGCTCAGGATGAGTTTTTGAATGGCGATGTTCCTTCAATAAATGGACTTTCACATTCTTCATTGAACCATTGGTGTGCTGGTGACATTTCTATACATTTGGTTTATTGGGGGCTCTCATTTGTGGTCTTCCCAAGGGGGTTTCCAGCACATGTTTTTAGGGGAGATTTTTAATCTTTTTCCCCCATCATTTTCAATACGTTGGATTCATTTTCTACATAGGAACCGGGAGAGAAAGCGATGCATTCTCTGAAATGCGTCAGGTTTCAATCAGAGCCCTCAGTTGGGGTCTGCCAATGGGATCTGCTTCAACATCCTATGCGATATTCTAAAGAATACTCCTGGGACCCCTTAAGATACTCCGGATGACAGGGAGCTGCCTCTGAAATGATTCTGACCACTGGTTTTGGTCCACTCTGGGGTCCTGCGCTCCACCAACAGATACCAAAAATATTTTATGCGACATCAAAGGCCTTGTAAAATAAACCCACCACAAACGTGCCATATACTGGAAAGAGCACCTTGCAGCCTCACAGTTATGCTTCCTACCTGTCTCCGAACGGACGTGTTTGGTGCGTTTTCTTCAAACTTGGCCAGTAACTGGGTGGCCATTGACCTGACTTTGTTCTGGTTGATGACCTCCTTGGTGTCGCTGCATTCGCTCCCGCATCCGTTGCTTTCACCTACGACGTTTCCCGCCTGCAAAACCAGACAGGAGACATATTTTAAGTGGCGCCCGTTGAACCCCGTTGCCTGTCCCACCGCCCCCGGCAAAAATGCAGCTCCGGAAACACGGGACCCAACATGGAACGAGACACAAGTGCTTCGGCTAAAAGTCTCTCTGCATACCAGACATTCCAGCTTTTCGCAAAGCCAACGTCTAAGATTCCAGGGATGGGGGCAGCGTGAGATTTGTAAATAAAGGACGCCATGTTCAAGAAACGTGAAGACCACTTTAGACTTAACTTAGAAGCCGTCCAGTGCTCCATAAGGGCCAATTGACGTCATGCACTTTTTACCACAAAAGAATACAAGAAAAGCTTGAAATGTATCCAAACCCAAGAACAGAAATGTAATATGTTGCAGCTTATGCGTCCTTAGAGGTGGTAGCTGCATTAGTTTTCTTTTCTCAGGATTGTTTTCCCTTTATTTTCAATTGGTGACCCTGCTAGTAACACACTTCCTGTCCTAGAGTGACAGCTCTCACAGACCATACTGTATCTATGGGGGAGCAGTGTTGTCACACTAGGACAGGAAGTGTATTAGGACTACAGAACAGCTCATCCTCTCCTCTCCTCCATAGCATAGGTTGAGGGTGGGGTTTTTTTGGGGGGGACTTATCAAACAGATATAACAAAACACATTCAGTGATACATTTTCCTATGCCCGGCATAACTGGCTGTGGCGTCCATAGTAGAGAATAGGTGTAGGTGGCTGTATGTGTACAACCCAGGACGTAGCTGGGGCCATATTCAGGAGCATTTGGCTTTATACATGTGCAGGTTTACGCAAGCTGGGAGATATTTCTCAAGGCTTCTAAGGCAGTGGTGGGCAACTCCGGCCCTCCAGCTGTGCTTTAACTACAAATCACCAACATGCCTCTGCCTCTGGGAGTCTTGCCTGTAACTGGCAATCTTGCAATGTGTCATGGTACTTGTAGTTTCACAACAGCTGGAGGGCCGGAGCTGGCCATCACTGTTCTAAGACCTCATGCACATGGGTGCATAAGACTGTTGGACGAAAATTGTGGCCATGTATCTGTGCTCGGCTGTGGCATACAGCCACACATAGTAGTGAATGGGTGTAGGTGACTAGACACATTCACTACTATGGGTGGCTATATGCTGGTTATCCCCGGTGCAGGAAATACTCCCATAGTTTACGTTTGACGGCCTGCGCCCTTGTGCATGAGGCCTTAGGAGTTGGGAGACAGTTTGTAGTCAGGCAGTTGACAGTTTAGAAACTTCTGACTACTGATGTCCAGGTTGAAGTATCAGGCTCATATGGAGTAAGTAAAGCGAAAATAAGCCAAACGTCATCAGTGTGCACGCGTCAATGGGCACTTGGGCCGGGTCAAGGGGTAGGCAGAAGAGGCAACCGCCATGTTCACTCCAGCAGATGTCTATAGGCACTTGGGCCAGGCCAAGGGGTAGGCAAAAGAGGCAACCACCATGTTCACTCCAGCAGATGTCTATAGACACCCGGGCTAGGCCAAGGGGTAGGCAAAAGAGGCAATCGCCATGTTCACTCCAGCAGATGTCTATAGGGACTTGGGCCAGGCCAAGGGGAAGGCAAAAGAGGCAACCGCCATGTTCACTCCAGCAGATGTCTATAGGGACGTGGGCCAGGCCAAGGGATAGGCAAAAGAGGCATTTGCCATGTTCACTCCAGCAGATGTCTACAGGCACTTGGGCCAGGCCAAGGGGTAGGCAAAAGAGGCAACCGCCATGTTCACCCAACAGATGTCTATAGGGACTTTGGCAAGGCCACAGGATAGGCAAAATAGGCAACTGCCATGTTCACTCTAACAGATGTCTATAGGGACTTGGGCAAGGCCACAGGATAGGCAAAAGAGGCAACTGCCATGTCTATCCAGCAGATGTCTATAGGCTCTAGAGCCAGGCCAAGGGGTAGGCAAAAGAGGTAACTGCCATGTTCACTCCAGCAGGAGGATGGTGCAAACATACGCAGCTGAAGTAATTCACAGCTCATGGTGTGGTGAAGGGGGGCAAACTCATTTTTCACCTTGGGAGCTAAGGGAACTGGTCCCGTCACCGATGGCCACTGTTCACTGTGCCATCTATTCACAATGGAATTCTCTGTCAATGGCACTTTCACTGTAGCCTCTAAAAAATGGGGGAAGAAGCCGAATTATGAAGTCCACAGTAACCTCTCCAAATCACAGCTGCTGCCGTACATACACAGGCGGGAATGGAATTTATTAACAGCCGCTGGGACCCAGCAGCGCCCCGCAGAATCATTTCCCTGTTTTGTGATGAATGAGAGGATGGATAATATAACTCTGTTTGGGCAATTTGCTGTAATACTCTCCAGCTGCTACTAACTGCTCTCAGATACTTCGGTGAGACATCTGCTCGTGGCGCTGCCGCCGCTCGCGTTCTCACTCGGAGGCCGATTGACTGTCATCACCAATTATTAGGAACAAACCTCTTCAAATAGCTGGACCGTCCTCCGTCTCCTCTTGTTCACGTCATTCTCGTCTGTCTTATTTTCACTCTGACAGACAAAAGGAAAGAAAGTTACTCCGGTGAACATTGATCTGCTTCAAAGACCAATCCAATGACAATACTATCCAGATAATGATACAAAATGTAACAATTACACGTTTTCCCCACTATATCTGTGTGTCTATATTAGGAAGACATTGGTGTAGTTATCACTGCAACCTGAATGTGTGATGACACACAATGCCTGCGGGGGGCGCCCTATTTATACTTCCCATGGAACACAATGGGCTTGCTACTTTTTTTTTCAACCTTTTTTTTCAACCTGTGTCCATAATCTTGTTCACAAAAATAATTAATGGCGTCTCCTGCACCCCTTTTGAAGTCACTTCCTGACTACCTGCACTTCAACAATGGCTGTATGCGATTTCTCAGGGTGGGTTTCGTAATGGTGACAACAGTGGACCATGTGTTTGTAATGCGTGCTGAAACGGTCACTTGTTATGTCCACCGGAAGACTGTGTGATTGGGTGACAATGTAGGAGCACAGCTGGGAGACAAGAACAGGGCCTTGTCACCCTATAACAGGAATTGTCTGAGCAAGTACCTCCATGGCAGGATCTCCAGGCCTGACTTCAATAAATTTTTTTAATATTGACGTGGGACAAATAGAGAGATGAGGAAATGTGATTTTACTTGCGACATACTTGCTCCGCATCAGTGACTGAGAAAGTCATTGGACTGTCTGTGCAATGTGTGCGGAAAGGTCACTTGTTGTGTCCATCAGAAGCCTGTGTGGCAGGGTGACAATGTAGGAGCACAGCTGGGAGACAAGGACCGATCGTTGTCACCCTATAACAGGAAGTGCATGAGGAAGGACCTCCATGGCAGGATCTCCAGGCCGCACGTCAACACTTCAAAAATGATTGACCCGGGACAAATAGAGGGATGAGGAAACATGATTTTACTTGCTATGTACTTGCTCAGTGGCTTAGAAAGTCATTGGATTGCCATTTGCAATTGCAGGTTCTGTTTAAACACATCCAAGAGTGTAACTATTGCCATAGCAGACCTTTCCAGCTGCTATAGGGCCCTAAAGCACAGGGGCCCAAATTTGTCTGGCTACACAATGCTTTTAGCATTTGTCAGATACATTTGGGTACAATAATGTATACATAGTATAGGAGCCTATGTGATTGCTATGAAAAGCAATTAGTATTCTGTGTTATTAGATGAATAGGAAAGACACCGAATTGATGCACGGTCAGGAGTTGCCCAGGTGTGCACCGATCACGGCGTCACCCGGGTAGAAGTGAATTCACTGCGTCGCCTCGTCTGATTCGCCCTTACTAAATTATTTCTTGGGTGGAACGAGAAATAAAACTGCGGATGTTTGTCTTCTATCAAGTATCAGATTTGTATAATCTCAAGAAGTGCGTCTGGCGTAGTTGTGTTCAGGGCTGTAACTATATGGGATGGGGCCCCATAGCAAAACCATTTAGGGCTGGTGCAAACCTAGGCGACACCTTACCGCGCAGCAATCGTGCGACTCCTGACCCGGCGGATTGCCGCGTGTCAGGAGTTGCCCAGGTGTGCACCTATCGCGCTGTGGGTGCCATTATTTTTGCCGTAATCGTGTTCAGAAGCACGGGCGGAATCGCAGCGGGAAACCACGCAATCCGCCCGCCGTGACTCGGGTGCCATTAGAAAATAATGGCACCCACAGCGCAATCGGTGCACACCTGGGCAACTCCTGACATGCGGCAATCCGCCGGGTCAGGAGTCGCACGATTGACGCGCGGTAAGGTGTCGCCTAGGTTTGCACCAGCCCTAAATGGTTTTGCTATGGGGCCCCATCCCATATAGTTACAGCCCTGAACACAACTACGCCAGACGCACTTCTTGAGATTATACAAATCTGATACTTGATAGAAGACAAACATCCGCAATTTTTTTTTCTCGTTCCACCCAAGGAATAATTTAGTAAGCGCGGGCGAATCAGACGAGGCGACGCACTGAATTCACCTCTACCCGGGTGACGCCGGAATAATTGCCAGGCTCTTCAGCCCACATGTGGGCCACATTACCACGACACGTGCTTGCGTTGTACTTCAAGTGTTTTTGAGTTGAGCGTGAGACATTAATATGCGAGCGAGCCAGACTGAGGGGGGCGGGGGTGGCCCTCCTCTGACCGTCGCACGCAGCTCCGTTCATGAGATAAGCGTTTCGTGATGGATTCCAACCCGACTCTGATTTTTTGTTTAATTCCGAGGGGTGGGAGCGAAGTCAAATTATGAATCTGGTTAATTTCTTGGAAAGACGTATAAAAAAAAAAAATGAAGGCTTAAGTTTCTCAACCGGCTGCGTTCCGCGGCGTCCCAAACAATTAACTCCAGAAGGTAATTTGAATTGAGTTCGATTGCGGAGCAATTAGATGACATCATGTTTGTCGGGGACGTGGAGATCCTGTGTTTTGCTGCCATGGAATTTTTTTGTGATGACATCCATATGAGAACCTCTCGGACTTATCTCCCCCTCATTAGCGCATGTTGTCAGATGAAAGGGATGTCGATTTCGCTGCTCACCGCCGCGTCTGACCTACGCTGGGCGTTTCAAAGAGGACGAGGGTGAAACAGAACGGAGGAGACGTTTGTTTAATGCGAATTTCCAAAGGACGTTTCCTCCCGTGCTGGAGTAACTGATCTAAGATTTATTTATCTAGGATTAAATGATATCGCAATAAATCACAATGTACAGGAGGCTTAATGAGATTCAGAACAGCTGTCCAATGTAATCCTGTTGAAGAAACTTCATATACATAAGTCCCTCCATTGTCCTACATGATATTGAATGACCTGGTTACTGAACCTATACTGGAAATGTCCTATAAACTGGTCACAGAGGTTACAGTCATACTAGACAACCTTCTTTAGATCTACCAACAGCAGTGTTATATCAGGCCTGTCTGATTGGATACACATTATATGGCCAACAGTTCATAGATACCTGACCGTCACACCTATCATATGACCAAAAGTATGTGAATTCCTCTCCAAATGATTGAGCTTGGGTGTTTTCAGTGAAGGGTACTATTAATTCTGCAGCATACAAAGACATTTTACAAAAATTTGCTCTTCCAGCCTTGTGGCAGCAGTTTGAGGAAGGCTCTTTTCTGACTTTGGCCCTATCCACACAGCTAGGTCTATAAAGACATGGTTTGACCAGAGTGTTGTACAGGAACTGCACAGAGCCCAGACCCAGGGCTGTCTTTAACGCAGGGCAAAAGGGGCAGTTGCCCCAGCCCCAGTCACTGTTGTGGGGCCCAAAGCAGCTGCCCCTTGAGCCTGCAAAAGACACACACGTGTCACCGTTCTGTTTACTATGCAATCTGCATTGCATAGTGTTGCTCTGCCCCTGCTGTATGCTTGCACAGCGCGACCTCGTGGTGTCTCATGCGGGGTGACATCCCCCTATGATGTCTCCTCCTATCCACTCTTTTAGAGAGCGAAAGTGCATGGCGGGAGAGGGGCTGGGGACCCAAGAAAATGTTTGCCCAGGGTTCAATCAATATTAAAGATGGCCCCACCCTGACCTCAACCCTACTGAACACCTTTGGGATGAAATAGATAAACTTGGAATGCCTGAGAGCCAGGTCTTCTTAACCATTTGTGAGGTCAGTACCTGACCTCACAAATGCTCTTTTGGTTGAATGGGCACAATTTCCCACAGACACACTCTACAATCATGTGCAAAGCATTCTTAGGGTAGAGGTTGGGGTCAACTCCATATTAATGGCTGTGGTTTTGGAATGGGATGTCCAACAAGTTAATATAGGTTTGATGGTCAGGTGTCCAGAAATGTTTGCCCACATAGTGTATATTGAATAAAAAACCTATTGGAGATTACACAGAGATTGGAATGTGACATGTAGCCAGTTTAAGTTGTTGTTATAAGTGTGATCCAGTCAAACATTGGTGTGGAGGAACTCAAGTGTCCTGCACAGAGCCCTGACCTTAACACTACTGAACACCTTTGAAATGGATTGGAACACCAATTTTGAACCAGGTCTTCTCATCCACCATCAGTACCTGACCTCACAAATGCTCTTTTGGCTGAACGGACACAAACTCCCCAGGACACACTGCAAAATCTTGTGTAAAGCCTCTTAGAAAAGTGGAGGCTGGGGCCAACTCCATATTAATGGCCATGGTTTTGGAGCGGGATATCCAACAAGTCCATATAGGCCACAAACATTTGGTCATACAGTATCCTGTATATTGAATGAATAACCTAATGGTAATGGCTGTTTTAACACCTCCTAGCTCCAATTATGCAAATGCAATCAACACCTGGTTGCGATTAACAGATTATGTGGATTGGAGGAACATTCACCATATTTATTCCCAGTGAACCTTTTGTGCAAGTCATTCCGAATTGAGAAAGCTGGTCGCATGACCAGTGAAACGGCTTCAAGAAAAATACAGCAAGTCCAGTTGCCTTGACTTATTTTTTTTACAGATAAACTTATTGGAGATTACTCAAAGATTGTACAATCAGACTGTGACATGGAGCCAGTTTAAACTGTTATTATGTTTGATCCAGTCAAACATGACAATCTCTGAAAAAACCCCAAGACAATTTTGTTTTTGGATCACTCTTACTCTCTTTCCTTCTCTCCCTTTCTCATGTTGCATTGCCTTTAACTGTGTACTTAATAGTAAATTTACTAATAATCATATGATTACTCTGTATACCAAGTACGCTCAGTACAAAAGTTATTCAATGTCTCACCTTTGGCACTCTCTTTCTTGGTAATGTTAAGTTGAGGTAATTGTTCAATATCAAGTTTGACGGTTTTGAAGACAAAGCTTCCCCATTGTTCTCATTGCCCTTGCGGGAAGAAACTGTGAACATAAAGGAGGCAAGTGTGTTTCAGAAGGAGGGAAGGCCAGACTACCCACCTCAGCAGACGAAAATGTAAAGCACAAATTAGGAACTAAAATAAGAATCCCAGAGTCCACCTCCCAATACAGGACATGAACGCTGCCCAGTTCAACTATAGCTGAAATTGTTGGCTGGGGCCATGCAAATCATTCCATTATTCTCAAGGGGTCGGTGGTGCACAAAGAATTACTGGTTTATAGGTACTGCGTAAAATATACAGGCATTTAACCAACAAGTGGTTCATGTTTGTTAGCCTCCTCCAGCGCAAAGGTTGGACACTGTGGCCAACCGAAAACTTCCTCATTAAAATACTTTTGAAGAATCCTTGGCTTCTTAACACAAAGTCAAGTGGGCTAGAAGGCTAAAGCCCTATTTAGGATTTATCTGTGTTATAACCGGTGACTCTGGATAGATAGTTGGATAAATGGCTCTATATTTGGATGTATCTGGTCTATAAACCAGCAGGTCTGGATGGACAGTTGGATTAATGGGCCTATATTTAGGATGTATCTGGTCTATAAAGCAGTGGCTCTGGATGGATAGTTGGATCAATTGCTCTATGTTTAGCATAGACAGTTGGATCAATTGCTCTATGTTTATCTGGTCTAAAAAACTGGTGGCTCTGGATGGACAGTTGGATAAATGGCTCTATATTTATGTTGTATCTGGTCTACAAACTGGTGGCTCTGGATGGACTCTTGGATAAATGGCTCTATATTTAGGATGTATCTGGTCTATAAATGGCAGCTCTGAATGGACTCTTGGATAAATGGCTCTATATTTAGGATGCATCTGGTTTATAAACTGGTGGCTCTGGATGGACAGTTGGATAAATGTCTCTATATTTGGATGTATCCAGGTTATAATCCAGTGGCTCTGGATGGACAGTTGGATAAATGGCTCTATATTTAGGATGTATCCGGTCTATAAATGGCGGCTCTGGGTGGACAGTTGGATAAATGGCTCTATATTTAGGATGTATCCGGTCTATAAATGGCGGCTCTGAATGGACAGTTGGATAAATGGCTCTATATTTAGGTTGTATGTGCTCTATAAACCAGCGGGCAGCAGGATAACAAAGTCATACAGGAATGATCTGCATGGCTCTGCCTACTATACATTAACAAGGAATTATTTTTGGGTTTGCAACAGCAACGTGTACATTTCTTCAGGTTGAAGATAGCAATGTTTAACTTCAGCTATGAAGAACTTAGTACAAAACCACCTTTCAGATCCAGGGAACTCAGAACATTCATAGTCAAGCAGAGCTACGTACCAACAGGCCTCAGCGGGGCTCTCCGGAATAATTCATAGAACTTGGAGAGGTACAAGACCATACTAAGCTTATCGGGTTCCTCATTGGATGCCATCTCCTTGGCCGCAGTGATTGGAGAGATTCCAAATTCCTTCTCGGCAATATCAAAGGCCAGCTGGTTGTTCCTGACAGCGTCATCCTCGTTCAAAGAGTCAAAGTCGCTGGTGGGGGGGAACAATATCAAACGACAGGCTCATCATTAAAAATTCAGGACAAACAACAAGATGAAATAAACGGATATTGGGGATTTATCTGATAATTCGGGTAGAAGACAGAATAATAGCAGAACATTTAGGGCAATGTGGAATGTTTTTTGGGTGGAACCCACAGACTGTTTTGAAGGCTACTAGTCCAATGCTATGCATATTTATGGGAAGGCAGTCAAGTGGTCCTTCCCAATGCCACCGGCTGGCTACTGATAAGGAAAGAATTGACTGAAACCTGTCCCATTAATCTGCCTGAATCACTCTCCTCCTCTCCACTTCACTCTCCATGTAAAGCTGAACTCCAGCCTTAGCCTTCCCCTTTCATTCATTGGATTTCAGTTCTTAAAATAAGGTATGTAATGAAAATGGAATGGCCGTACTTAAACATGTTATCATGTTTACGAGGGGGGGGGGGGCAGGAATCAAGGAAGGCAAAATATAGGCAGATTACACTTGAGGTTTGAAACACCTCAGGATAAGGGGGTAGCCCATATTTAGTATATCATGGATGGGCATACTTCCTATTAGCGGGCTTCCTCATTCCAATCACAGAAACACCAACCCTAGAAATGCCAATGCTCCATGTTCATTATAGGCAATCGAAGGATTTATCTGTGACGCCATTTTCCATTGAAGTGCACTAATCATGCTTCCTTGTTAAGTCTTACACTGCCCATTTATATCAACTACTGAATCATGTGACACTCCAGGGTATTGGGCCAAAAACTGTGAGCAACTTACAGAAGATCTGGCCGGAAATGGTGAATGATGGCGCACAGGGCCAAGCCGCTTCTCCAGGAGTTGGTCAGGTTTGTGACATTTACATTCCGGTAGCCCTCCGTCTGCTTCTGACACCAGGTTAAAAGTTTGTTGGGTCTAATGTCGGACTCTGGTGGGACAAGGAGAGAAGACCATCGGCTGAAGTTCTGCAAAAGCAGCAAATCAGAGCAAAGCTTGAGGTTGGGTCCAGAATTTCACTTACCATGCCGAGATAGATTGACAGACCTTCTTATGGAACTTGCTCTCTCTAAAGGACAGCCCTGTAGCTCATTGGTGATGTAGAGATGCTTCACCTGCAATCAAACATATCCCACGGAAGTTACATTTACATTTGATCTCTAACTGGATAGGTAAAACCTCATTTACAAATAATTCAGACATTATTGCCAACACCTTCTATCAAATCAAAGATCACCTCCTTATACAACTGATATATCCTTGCATGGCTGCTGGCAAGATGGCTTCCCCGCTGACCGGTTACACTGTGGGGGTTATTCACTAAGCTGCCAAAGGATTTAGCCAAACGTTCAGCTGATCCTTCGGCTCACTTCGGCTGCAGAAACCCTTCGGTTCGATGGCCTGCTGTATGCGCTATTCACAATGGCCCGTACAGCAGCCAAAGTAAACAGCCAAGCTGAACGCATATGCTTCGGATCGGCACAGCTGAAAACAAAGCCGGAGCAGGGAGAATGGTCCAGCCCAAGCGGACCAACTCCCTGCAAAGTCTAAAAGTGTGATTTAAAAAAGAAAACAGCGTGGGATCCCCCTCCCAAATTTATATCAGACCCCTTAGGTCTGGTAGGAATTTTAATGGGGACCCCCAACGCCCAAAAAAGGGGGGGGGAAAGTGGGGTCCCCCCTAAAATCCCATATCAGTCCCTTAATCTGAGCATTGGCCTGGCAGGGCAGGAAAGGGGGTGGGACGAGCGAGCGCCCCCCTCCCTGCACCATACCAGGCCACATGCCCTTGACATCGGGAGGGTGCTTTTCCAGGGGGGCCCTGAAAAAGCACTGTGTCTCCATGCCCAAGAGCCCAAGGGCCTGGCCCTGTGGTTGTGGGGGTATGTGGGGAACTCATCTGCATCCGGGTACCACCTTTCATAAATGCAGCACCGAGATGCCGCCCCCCCCCTTGACGAATCCTTTGATGAAATATCCCCATCCCAGTTCCCAGCTACACACAACTGCAGTTGTCAGTCCAACACCAAATGACAATTTGCTCCATCTAAACCAGTGGTTCTCAACCTGTGTAACCTCAGGACCCACATTTGTCCTTGGACATTAAGTGGCGACCCAAGTCGCACTGCAATGGAACGCACGGCATCGCGGTACCGTGTGTGTGATCCTCAGCTTGGGGTCCAGTACTTGGCTGCTGTGATGGAGCTCCATCCATACATGCATTGCTTGTACAACTCCCTGGTGCGCCCTGTAGGTCACATGAGGAAACTGTAAGCAATGCATGTATGGATGAAGCTCCCTCGCGGCCATACCTCCAGCCCACCCCTTCTCAAGCTGACACTTGGCGCCAGGCAGCATATTCTGAATGGCTGCTCACGGCAACAACTGATATTGCTACACTAGGGGGAGGCTGAGGAGCATCTCACATAGAAAAGTGGAAGGCACGTGGCGACCCACTGAAAACAAGGTCGCGACCCACTTTTGGGTCACGACCCACCAGTTGAGAACCAAGGATCTAAACTAAACTAAAATTCTGGCTATAGATACACTGTAACATAAGAACACATTCAACCGGCCATCAAATAGATTGAGATTGAACTGGCTGTATTGAATGTAACTCCTTCTTCTCCCCCGTTCGTTGTGCACACACACCTGATGTCCCCGGACACTGGAGTTGAGGTTGGGGTATCGGCTGGCGGGGTCAATCGTATACTGGTCAAAGTTTTTGTTAATGTTCTCCGGCGTCGTCTGAGGTAGCAAACGGTACAGACTCTCCCTGAAACAAGACAGAACATAATCAGATGTCTACAACCCCCTCCGGAGAATCATCACTCTTAAGATATTTCCTCCATTTCGGAAACCATTGCCAAAAACTGCCATGTGGCGCTGTGGCGAGGGGAAGCCGTCTTTCCGTCTAATGCTCCGTGATTTGCAGGGTAAATATGTAGCACACCATACATTACATGATGTCATCTCTTTGTGCACTCACAACAAGATGCTTTTTTTTTTTCCTTTTTCAAAAAAATTTTGTCAGATGAATTTCAATCTTGGCGACCACAGACAAGTGAGTCAGAAATGAATCAAGGACACGTCTTTACCGTTCGGGGAGAAGTTATGATCTCACGCAAGCACGCCACGCGTTAGATTGAATCCAGCTAGGAGAATATTCCACATTAAAGTCAAACTTTTCATTTTTGTCTGAAGGTTTCAGCTCGCTGACCGCAATGTGAATGTTGTGTAGCCGCGGTGAGCGTAGCTCTTTTTTTATATATATAAAGCACACGGGGATACCGTATGAACATGCCAGCTGTCCTTAATTTAGACGGCCAGTCTCAAATGTTGAAGATCTGGGAACATTCCCGGTTTTTATAACTAACGTCAAAGACTGAAAAACCATCATCAATAAAAAGTGGACCGAGCAGCAGATGTATGTCTGCTTAAGTGTATGTAAAACCAAAATCTATTCTTCAGTTTGTTTGGCATCATGCCTCTCTGTATAAAAGGTACTTAAGCAGTTTGTTTTCCGGGATCTGTTACAATGTTTCTTACCTGAAGATCCTGCACACAACAGCGCTTCCTGTTTCAGGCTGACAACGCTAAGCCACTGTCACCGAATTAGCAGCAGTGCTGTCAGCCTATTCCTTCAGTTGACCGTTGGGCTGACTATCAGGTCTGTACAAACCTCCTGCATACCTGATAGGTAGCCCAATGGCCAACTAAAGGAGTGCGCACATTAGACTGACAATGCTGCTGCTAATTACGAGGCAGTGGCTTAGCGTTGTCAGCCTGAAACTGGAAGTCCTGTTGTTGGCAGGATCTCCGAATAAGCAGCTTTGTAACAGATTCACAAAAAATGATTCACTTAAAGCTAAACTCCGTCCTTCCCTTCAGTCTTCTATCTGACCTCTGTCCTTCCCTTCAGTCTTCTATCTGACCTCCGTCCTTCCCTTCAGTCTTCTTTCTGACCTCCGTCCTTCCCTTCAGTCTTCTATCTGACCTCCGTCCTTCCCTTCAGTCTTATATGTGACCTCCGTCCTTCCCTTCAGTCTTATATCTGACCTCCCTCCTTCCCTTCAGTCTTATATGTGACCTCCGTCCTTCCCTTCAGTCTTCTATCTGACCTCCGCCCTTCCCTTCAGTCTTCTATCTGACCTCCGCCCTACCTTCAGTCTTCTATCTGACCACCGTCCTTGCCTTAAGTCTTGCACAGTTGTACCGGCTCCTCTCCTGGACTGAAATTGCTTCCTCTGATAATCACTGCACACTGGGAGCTTTCCACAATGTGCATTAGAAGCTGCAGCAAGTCAGATAGAACCCGCCTCATTTCCTAGCTGTAGGATGTCCAGCATTATCTAAGCCTTTCCTTCCCTGCCTGACTGCCCCTTTCATACATTGGATTTCAGTTCTTACAATCATGGAGGCTCAGCATCATGAGCAGGCGTTAGCTAGGGTGGTCTGCATGCAAATACAGTCTGCCTAGGTACTACCACTTCTCTAGAATGACATCCCCTCATCAAGGTATTTTGATATTTATCAACAGCTAGCCCCCTGCTTGCATCAGGACCGAGAAGTACTGAGGCAGGGTGCTGTGATGTTTTGAGGAAGCTATGTACAGCACCCTGCCGGCCCCTCCCACCAGCCATGAACTTACTGCATTGCACAGAGAGGCAAAGGGACCCAGTGATGACAGTGCTGGGTCTAAAATAAGGTATGTTGTGAAAACAGAAAGGCTTCATTTAATAATTTTACCAGCATGTTGATTGGGATGGGGGAGGGGGGGATTGGTGGGGTAGAAGGAACCATGGAAGGCAAAATATAAGCAGATTAGCTTCAGCCTTAAGAATATTGTATAGTCAGTCAGCCATATACTTTTTACATACAGTACATGGGTTTACAATATACTTTAGGTACATGTGTGCTCAGTATTGTGTCACTTCCAGGTATTTATTACTTCTCACAGAGATCACTGTACTCCCCCCTGACAATGCCTTCATCTACTTTTTTTACCCCCATGCCCTTTTTACAATATGGAACCCCAAAGCGGACATTGTTATGTAGCCAAAACTGTCCATTTTGAGTTTCCTACAATGGCTCCGTGTCCATGGAAAGTAAATCCCAGTGTTCCAATCTTTCCACTAAGGAGTGCAATGTAACCATCTTTAGAACTGCGATATATGACCATATGGTGATCTATAAAAAGCCTTGATGGCTATTCCTGTCCTGGGGGGCAATGGAGTTAAGTGTCACATGGCAAAACAGAAGAAGCTGGACGTTTCTGGTAGCAGATGGAAGTCAAAGTGAAAGCCGTCAGCAGTTCTGTAAGGGATAGAAGTCTATATGAAACCAACGTCATGTCCCCAACAACAGGGGCTTATGGAAAAGGATAACAGGGCAGCGGCCATGATGGTCCAAAGCTATAAGGTTTTAAACAGAGGACCTTTCAGTCATGGGAGTTGGTTTGTTTAGTTCACAATATAAAGGGCATTTCGAGTTTGGAATTGTATAGATTCATGACCACAGCATGAGGGAAGAGTGGGAAAATGACAGAGTCTGGGGGAATTGAGTTTAATGGTGAGTGATAAGTGTTCAGAGGGCCATAGAGTGTAACAGACAGATTATGTACAGCACCAGAGAAGGAAATAGAGGCGGAGGATACACTGTTTCCCCAAAAATAAGACCTACCCTGGAAATAAGACCTAGTACTATCTTTGGGAATTGCTAAAATATAAGACCTACCCCAAAAATAAGACCTATTTGTGACTATTCCCAGGGCCGGTGGTGGCATAAGGGGGAACTTAAATAGCTGCGGGAGAGGCAGGAGAGAATGAGCAGTGCCAACGAAGCCAGCGCTAGAGGAGGCGAGGCGGCACCGGAGGGAGCAGAGCCGTATAAGCCAATGCCTCCTCTATAGCGCCGACTCGTGTCACAGACGGAGCGATACCAAATGCACTCGGCCTGTGAGGAATCCATAGTGATAGCGTGCTTCGCTCATTCTGGCCAGCGATTTGTTAGCAAATTGCTCTTGGAAAGGCACGGCAACCCTGATTGCCCTGATCACCATATTTTTCTACATGAATGAGTGTGGATTGTTGTACATTAAAAAAAAAATAAGACCTAGTGTGTTTTTTTAAGCCAAAAATAATATAAGACAGTGTCTTATTTTCGGGGAAACACGGTAGTAACATAGATACAGATCCAACGGCACTTCCTGTCCATTTACTGACTGTTGAAAGGAAATATTCACATATTATCCTGTTAAAATTGAACTCCAGTTTAAATGAAAGGCAAGGCTTTAAAAATGGGAAACTCAGATCACTAAACACTTTATGAGGACATCCCTCCATATGATTAAGTTCTGGTGTTCCCGGTGAAGGGTCCTGGTAATGCTACACCATACGAAGACATTGTGGACAATTGTGCTCTTCCAACTTTGTGGTCGCAGTTTAGTGAAGGCCCATTTCGGTTCCACCATGAGTGTCCCCTGTGTACAAAGCCACCTCCATAAAGGGTAAAGGTTAAGTGCTCGTTTTCATCTGGGGACAAAAATAACAAAGATATACTCACCTGATCATTGGAGCCAATTGGCTGCTGGACCCTTTTCTGTTCCACCATGCCTGTCCCCTGTTTACAAAGCCAGCTCCATTAGGACATGGTTTGACCAGTTTGTGAAAACCACTCAAGTTCCTTCACCCCAGAGCCCTGACCTCAACTCTAAGGAACACCTTTGGGATGAGCTGGAATGCCAGTAGTTAACCTCACAAATGCTCTTTTGGTTGAATGGGCACAAATTCCCACAGACATACTCCAATATCTCATGGAAGACTTCCCAGAAGAAGAAGAAGCCTGTTATAGCTCTGTAGCTCCAAAAAGACATGGTTTGACCAGTTTCGTGTGAAGGAACTCCAGCTGTCCTGCACAGAGCCTTGACCTCAACCCTAGTGAACACTAGTGCCAATTGTGAGCCAGATCTTCTCATCCAACATCAGTATCTGGGCACAGATTCCACAGACACCCTCCAAAATCTTGTGGAAAAACTTCCAAGAAGAGAGGAGGCCTTTATATCTGCATGAAGGGGTCAACTCCATAGTAATGGCCATGGTTTTGGAATGGGATGTCCCAGAAGCTCGTATACCCTGTTTCCCCGAAAATAAGACCTACCCCGAAAGTAAGACCTAGCACTATTTTTCAAGATTCCTGTAATATAAGGCCTACCCCGAAAATAAGACCTAGCTTGGTGGTAGCATGTGGGGGGGAACTTGAAGAGCAGGAGAGATGGTATCAGCCTGCAGGGACATACTGTATTAAGGGGATGACAGGGGACTCACTCCGGCCAGCGCAGTGACAGGGAGCACTCCACTACCATACTTCACCAACTGCTGTCCCCCTGAAGGCACTGCTTAATGTAATGGTACTGTATTGTGTACCGGTAAATGGTACCATACTTTACTGCGCCGTCCACTGTCTGATGTCCCCACTGCTGCACCGCTGGTACCGCTGTCCCTGATGGCAAAGCATGCCGGCGCTGTAGAAAGCAAGGCTGCGGCGGCGGAGGGAGCAGAGCCGCATTAGCAGAAACTTCCTTTATAGCACCGGCTACTGTGACAGGCGGAGTGATACCAGATAACTTTGGATTGTTGTACATTTTGTTGCACAGTAAAAAAAAAAAAAAAAAAAGACATCCCCTGAAAATAAGACCTAGTGTGTTTCTTTTTAGCCCAAAAAAATATAAGACAGTGTCTTATTTTTGTGGGAAACACGGTAGGTGCAATAGTCAGGTTTTCACAAATGTTTGGCCTTATAGTGTCTTAATAAACCACATTTACGTTTATTGTGAAGAGGAACTAGCTAATATGCAAACCTTGACACCCCTGCATCACCCCAACCACCCTCTCTGTTACATTACACTGATTACATCACAGATCATGCAGAAGCAGAACTGAGAAAACTCCTGCTGCATTAACAGCTGCTTACTACCATATCCATGGACTGTAGGGGCTTTCTGACCAAAATAATGCAGAAAAAGGAACTAAAACTGAAATATTATTTAATTTGCAATGTAGTGAATTAAAAAAAAAAAAGGTAATAGGTAAAGAGAGAAACGATACCTTTCGGCAAGGACTTCGAGAGGCGGTGTTCCCTGAGCCCAGCTCTTCACCATCCAGGCCGTGTCAAAGGCTGCCAAAAATCCCCGGGCACATCCGGTCCCCATGGGCCAGAAAGGCTGCAAGATAGAAAGAGATGCATTATGTTTTTTTTCAGTCTGACACCCAATAAATGAAGGTCGAAGAACGGGGCAATGCAGCAACACTGGCCTTAAAGAAGAACTCCAGACATAAATATTCTTAACTCTTGCAGTGGGGCTACCTCCTTCCCCGCACTGCAAGGGTTTAAGTGCTCATTTTGGTCTAGGGATGAAAATAACCGAGGTATACTAACATGAACCTCGCAGCCATTTGGCTGTTAGGCCGGACCCTGCATCCTTGCTCCCCCTCCACTCCGGTGGTCTAAGGTCCTGTGAGTCACCACGTCCTGTAGAGTGTATTGGACTTGGGGACGCCAAGGGTCATGCCATTGAAGGGGGAGACAGGCCGAAGGGACCGGTCTAGCTATGGCTAGGTTACAAAGCCACAGCTTTAGTAGCAATTTGATGATGAGACATCAGCCCCACATTGTGTGGACCGTTACGGCGAGTAGACACCGGGTTTCATAAGTTGACCAACCTCAAGTAAACTGTCTCCGACGAGGGCCACCAGGAGATGGTGCCCGTGCCGTTCTCTGACCAGGGCGGCGTTCTCCGAGGCGTACATCGACGTAAAGTCAAACATGGCCACGTCCGGCTGCTCGTAATGGTTGATGGCGAAGTCCAAAGACGGCAGCTGGTAGTTGGTGGCAAAGTCTGCGGCCTCCCGGGCGTAGGACTGTAGGCTGTCCTGATCCACGTTTTCGGCACAAAGCAGCATCTCGGCATCAGCGTAATCCTGCAGAGAATACAAATGCGTGGCTCGGCATTGCATGGCGGGATCGTGTTCTTCAATAAGCTATTATGTGTTAGGGCCAAACAGTCTTAGAGCAGGAAAGGAGTTTTATATTGCAGTCTTTATTTTCATTAAAGATTTTTACTCACTTCCTGTCCAGATGAGAAACCTCTCCAATGGAGACAGAGACGGAAACATATATTTGTTTGGCATCTAACTCAACATGACCCTTTCTTTTATATTTTACCAAAAAAAACATTTTGTATTATATTATTTGTGTGCAGGGCCAGATTTACTCTCTCTGTGCCCCCCTCCCCAATGGAGAATGGTAACCGGGCAGTGGTGGCGGCAGGGTTAGTTTTAATTTTTTTTTTCTTTCTTTTTTTTTACTTTTTTTTAACTTTTTAACTTTTTATTTATTTATTTATTTCTTCTTTCTTTTTAACTTTTTTATCACTTTTTTAATTAGTGGCTGGGCCTCGGTTGACCTTGTGGGAAATCCGGCCCTGTTTGTGTGCAATAAAATTCATTTTAGAGGGGGTTTTTTTCCTAAAAATATCGATTAGATTAATATTTGTGTACATTTTGTGCGACATCAAAAAAAATCAGCTACCATTTCTTTATTCTCCGGGGCCTCTGCTTTCAGAGGATATTTCATTGTTTGGGGGTTTAAAGTAATTTTCTATCCAAAAATTCAGATGAAAAAGGAAAAAATTGCTCCAGTACTCGGGTGGTTAAAGGAGGACTATGGGGTCAGTGTTTTTCTCCATAGTTCTCCTAAGGGTCACGGGAGGACACAAACTAGCGTCCTCCTGTCACCCAAAGCTCAGTATATAGGGAGCTACAGCTCGCGGTATACTGAGATCGCCGCAGCCGGGACGGATCCCGACATTACTGTCGAGATCCGCCCAGCTGCGTGATTGACAGCTGGCTCTGCCTATCTAGAGGCAGAGCCAGCTGCACCCGCCCCCTCCCCCGTCCGTTCCACCAGTCAGCGCTGGAGGGTCGGACAGGGGAGGAGGGGAAATCCCTGCAGGGAGGCGTGAGTGACAGTCACGGCTCTCTGCAGAGACAGGATCGAGAAGTGAGCGAGCGCCGGTATGTGTTCTCTCACTTCCCGATCTACTGAGCCGACCTGTGACAGTCTCATTGTCACACGTCGGCTCCAACTATGAGGATCGGTGAAAATCACTCACCTCATAGTTCTCCTTTAAAGGAAGTCTTTTTATACACGTTTTATACATTTTGTATTTGAAGTTTCTTTAATGTGACCTGAGGGACCTGAGGGATGAATGTGATCCACCTACATTGAGGATGACCCCCTTGTCCAGCAGACTCTGCTTCTTGGCAGTCATCACGAAGTAATGTGTGCTGTCCTTGTAATATACGATGTTCTCCAGGTCGATCCCTGGAAGCAGAGAAGAGATAACACATTAGGAGTTCATTGTCCAGGAGACGCCGCCAGTGATGTCTTCTACAGAGCGGAATCCTGGATACATTGCAACATTGTAACATTACAGGACGCATAGACGACACGCACAGACACACGGAACACGCAGGCCGAGCTGGGACATCATTTAAAGTGTATCTACTGTATAGCCAGGAGATGTGTTTTGAGTAAAGGATTGAGGAAAAGGGGGGTTTGGTCCACTTGGAGAGATTTTCCTTTACTTCCTGTAGCAAAGGGCACAACAGGAAATGAGAGAAAATTGCTCCAGAGTGTTAGGAAGTCCCCTAATCTTGCCACCGGAACAGTTGCCCCCCATTGCAAGACTCTGATGACAAGTCTAAAAATGTTTGAGTATAGGATTGGGAAACGAGGGCTTGGTCCACTTGGGGAGATTTCACTTCCTGTCCCAAAGACATAACAGGAAATGAAAGAAAGATGCTCCAAAGTATTAGGAACTCCCCTCTTCTTGTCACCAGAAGAGGTGTCCCCTTTGAAATATCAGATGACATCTCTAAAATGTTTAGAGTAGAAGATTGGGGAAGAGTGGCCTTGGTAGACTTGGGGAGATTTTCCTTTACTTCCTGTCCCAAAGACATAAACAGGAAAAGAGAGAACATTGCTCCAAAGCATTAGGGGATCCCCTTTTCTTGTAACTGGAACAGGAGTCGCAATTGAAACATTCTGATGACAACTCTAAAATGTCTTGAGTCTAGTATTGGGGAAAAGTGGGCTTTGTCCATTTGGGGAGATTTTCCTTCACTTCCTGTCCCAAAGACATAAACAGGAAATGAGAGAAAATTACTCCAAAGTATTAGGAAATATCTTCTTGTCACCATTGAAAGATTCCCCGCCCCCACCCTGATTCTTGTTTGGAAGACAACTCTAAAATGTTGGATTTCCCATCACTTCCTGTCCCAAAGACACAACAGGAAATGAGAGAAAGTTGCTCCAAAGTTTAGAAAATCCCCTCTTCTTGTCACCGGAACAGGGTGAATGTTGTTCACACGGCATTCCCACCACTAGATGGAGCCAAGGAGTATGGGAATTCCCTATGCCCCTCCATGTCCCCATTGAAAGATTTTCCGCTTCCCGTTCTGATGGCAGCTCTACAATGCTGGATTTCCCATCACTTCCTGTCCTCAGGACAACTAGAGGGGGTGAATTTCCCCAGTGGGGTCGCACATTTAAGTCAGCAACCTGGGCTGGTGTAAAAGATGTCCATGTAATGGGCCGCCCTTCTCCACACGGCAAAGGTTAATTGCTTGTTTTGTCTAGGATGGGGGTGGGCAAACTCCGCCCCTCCAGCTGTGGTGCAACTACAAATCCCATGAGGCATTGCAAGACTCTGACAGCCACAGGCATGACTCCCAGATGGGTTTTGTAGTCGCACCACAGTTGTGGGTCTGGAGTTTGCCTACCCCTGCTCTTGGGGGTGATTAATAGGGTGATACACTTACCTCATCCCTCACTCCTAGATTGTGGGCAGGCCTCTCGGTGTCCTCATACACAATGCAGGACTGCTGCTCCTGCATTGTACATGATGAAGTTGGAGGCTTCATAATGGTGACAATGGTGGACCGTGCCTGCGCTATGGGACAGCGGCTTGTAGCCTGCATGTGACAACGCAGAACAACAATTGGGAGGCAGAGACAGCGGGTTGTCACCCCACAACAGGAAGCGCCTGAACAAGGACCGTTATTTAAATGAAACTGCAGATCTCTATAGACTGAAACCAGCTTATGAAATGACGTGAACGTGTCACGGCTTCTACGGGATTCCAGCTCCAGGGTGTCAGTCGGCTCTACACGCACCCAGGCGTGTATTCACTGAGAGTTTCTTTTGTCAGGTGAGTTTCTATTTCAGTCCGGCTGACTTCCGCCTGAACTATTCGTCACCCCTGAGCACAAAGCGCCGGAGCCGCAGCGGGCTGCCAGAATGAGGACCGACCTGTTTCTTCCTTCAAGTCCTGGAAGAATTTCTGATTGAAGATAAAGGCCACGCCGCTGATCTCCTCCACCTTGGCCTCCGCCGTCGTGTTTCTGTTGATAAAGTTGGCCGTGATGGCGATGGCGAGTTTACCCCGGAATTCTTTCCTTCGGAATCCTGCAGTGAAAAGGGGGACGAATGTTTAAAAGGGGGCCACCTGCGTGTACGGCGACATCTGCATACATTCAATCACATAGAAGGAGACATTTCATCTGCCTTTCCTGGTCCCTCATCAATCTGCATCATGACATTTCAATAAAGCTTTCCCGTTTTCATTATGTGCTTCTCTGTGCAATGCAGGCATATCATGGCTGGTGGGAGGGGCCAGCAGGGGGGCTGTACATAGCTTCCTGAATACATCACAGCGTCCCGCCTGAGTACTCTTCTCAAAAGCCCTTAGCCCCGATGCAAGCAGTGGGAGGAGTTATGCAAATATTGAAGTGTCTTGATGGGCGGGTGTCAGTCTAGAGAGGTGGGCGTTTCCTAGGCAGGCTGTATTTGCATGTACCGCCCTGGGTGACGCCCACACATGATGCTGAGCCCCCGTGTTCAAATGAGTGCGTCAGAGTCCAAAAAACATCGAAACTGGAGCAGACGAAATCTAGAGCAGCTGCGCAAGACAACCAATCAGCTTCTCTTTCATTTTCAAATCTTAACTGAACAAACTGAAGAGAGAAGCTGATTGGTTGCCGTGCGCAGCTGCTCCAGATTTGATAAATACCGCCCCCCCTAATCTCTGAATGATCGCGCACTCTGTAAATCTGCAGGAAAGCCTTTAAAACACTTCAGACGCCTTATAAAGGCCGTAACTCCCGTCATTAAAAGGGAAAGTGGAATGCGACAAATGAAGCGGCTCGCCGGGTCTGGCTGGAGGAAATTTGTTTCTTTTTTATAGGATCCCAGGCGGGATTGTGCGTTATATTGGTGTTTGATCGCCATTCGCAGAGGCGGCTGGATACACCCAGAGCACTGCGCCACCCAGGAAACACCTTGTCACATAAAAACTTTATCCTCCGCAGGAACGGACAGACACAACGCACAGTCAGAGGTGACATGGAAGGGGGACTTAAAGGAGAACTCCAGCTGAGCTGTTTGCTTAGTTCTTTTTTTATAAATCTTCCACCCATCCGTACACTGCGTGAAAGCCCTATGGGGTCTCTTTATAAACATTCTGCCCAGCTGTACACTGGGTGAATGTTCTATGGGATCTATTTATAAATATTCTACTGGGTGAATGTGTCCTATGGATTGCCCATATGCTGGGTGAATGCCCTATGGAGTATATTTATAACTCTGCCCAGCCATACGCTGGGTGAATGTCCTATGGGGTCAATTTATAAATCTTCTGCCCAGCCATATACTGGGTGAATGCCCTATGGGGTCTATTTCTAAACATTCTACTGTGTGAATGTCCTATGGGGTCAATTTATAAATCTTCTGCCCAGCCATACACTGGGTGAATGTCCTATGGGGTCAATTCATAAACATTCTACTGTGTGAATGTCCTATGGGGTCTATTTATAAACATTCTACTGGGTGAATGTCCTATGGAGTGCCCATATGCTGGGTGAATGCCCTATGGAGTCTATATATAAATCTCATGCCCAGCCATACACTGGGTGAATGCTCTATGGAGTCTATTTATGAACATTCTACTGGGTAAATGTCCTATGGAGTGCCCATATGCTGCGTGAATGCCCTATGGAGTCTATTTATAAATCACATGCCCAGCCATACACTGGGTGAATGCCCTATGGAGTCTATTTATAAATCTTCTGCCCATACGTTGGGTGAGTGCTGTTCGCATGGCATTCCCACCACTAGATGGAGCCATGGAGTATGTGAATTTCCTATGCCTCATAGCTCCATCTAGTGGCGGCAATGCCGTTTGAACGGCCTTCACCCAACGTATGGCTGGGCAGAAGACAAGCAGACCCCATAGTGTGCCTGGACTATATCTGACACTAGTTCCCACTATAAGCTAAGCGGAGTTTCTATCCTTAGCACATTGCGCTCGTTCCTGAGCGGCGCTCTCACTTCCCTGACTCACGGCTCGTTTCTCTTCAAGCATCCGGAGGCAAATCTTCTCTATTGAGACAATTAGGAAATAATTAGCATGGCGCAGGGAGGGGAAGCGTAGGGCCGCTGTTATATAGGGAGCATCGGCTGGGTGGAGGCGCTCATCTCAATGTCAAGCCGTGACTCCACACAACAAGACGGGAATTAAAAGGAACAATAAAACCCGCTGCTCTGCTTCCTTCATGTGAGTGACAACGTCAAAAAATAAAGACTACTTATGTCTTTAATTAGAAAGCGGGATACGTGATTTGTGGTGCGTGGGGCCGGAGGGTGTCCCGAGTGATAGTAAAAATGCAATTCAACCTTTGAGTAAAAGCATTGATGCCTAGGCTGGGTGCACGGGGGTGTAAGCGGGCTACTACAATCTCCCGGGATTTTTCCTGGAGTCATCTATAGTGATCGATCCCTACACATAGGGAACAATGGAGAGATCAATGTCCATGTAAACCCAAAATCGATTCTTCTGTATGTTCGGCGTCGGGGTCTCACTGTATACAGTTTTCTTAAGCAAGTTGTTTTTTGTGTGAGCCTGTTACAAAGTTTCTCCCCTGGAAATCCTGCCAGTAACAGTAACTTCCTGTTTAAGGCTGACAACGCTAAGTCACTGCAGTGCAATTAGCAGCAGTGCTGTCGGGCCGCCATTGGGGCTGCCTATCAGGGTTATCATACAGGCAGCCCAATGGCCAACTGTCAGGCCACCATGTGCACTCCTTTAGTTGACCATTGGGCTGCCAATCAGTGTAATCATAAGGCAATCCAATGGCCTAATGTCAGGCTGCCAGGTGCACTCCTTCAATAAACCATTGGGGCTGCCTATCAGGATTATAAAATAGGCAGCCCAATGGCCAACTGTCAGGCCGCCATGTGCACTCCTTCAGTTGACCATTGGGGCTGCCAATCAGGGTAATCATATAGGCAACCCAATGGCCAAGTGTCAGGCCGCCATGTGCACTCCTTCAGTTGACCATTGGGCTGCCAATCAGAGTGATCATATAGGCAACCAAATGGCCAAGTGTCAGGCCGCCATGTGCACTCCTTCCGTTGACCATTGGGGCTGCCAATCAGGGTGATCATATAACATGCACATGGCAGGCTGACAACACTGATACTAATTGTGAAGGAGTGGCTGTCAACCTGCAACAGGAAGTCCAGTTACTGGCAGGATCTCCAAGAAAGAAACTTTGGAACAAGAGAGGGAGTAAACGTTTACAGATATCAGAAATTGAGCTGAGTGCCAGGACAACCTAACTCCGGCGCACATGCACAAGAGTTACATCATCATGGAAAATGCCGGCTGCGCCCACCGCAACTTAATTCCATTTTGGGATGATTGTATACAGTGAGCCATGATATCACCTTTAGGATTTACCTATATTTTATTTGCTCTTGATTGCACAATGCGCCTATCTGTGGCCAATTTATAAATCCTCTGCCCAGCCTATAGCCGGGAGGATCCACTAGAGCCACTAGATGGCACTGAGTAGAACACCTGCGCTCCTGAGCGCCATCAAGTGGCTGTAGCACCATGCGACCAGCATCTGCTCTTATCAATCAGAATCAGCCCCCCATGTGTCTTCCAATGGGGATGCAGATTTCGGAGAGATTTGGAGAGAAATCTCAAACTTCCTGTGAGCGGACAGCAGAGGGAGTTGACTGTTCTCTGGGCTTCCCAAAACTAGAAAAAATGTTGTGTGTATATATATATATACACACACACACATATGAGTACAGTATATACAGGTGAAACTCGAATAATTAGAATATCGTGCAAAAGTAATTGCAGTAATTGCTGCAAAAGGGGCCCAAACCAAGTACTGAGTACATATGCATGCTTGTACTTTTCAGAGGTCCGATATTGTTCTATGTACAATCCTTGTTTTATTGATTGCATGTAATAATCTACTTTTTTGAGGTTGTGGATTTGGGGTTCTTGGGGTTTCCATGAGCTGTAAGCCATAATCATCACAATTATGACAAATCACGGCTTGAACCATCTTGCTTTGCATGTAATGAGTCTCTCTCATATATTAGTTTCACCTTTTAAGTTGCATTAGTGAAATAAATGAACTTTGCACGATATTCTAATTATTCGAGTTTCACCTGTATATTCTAAGTATTGAAGCATTGGTCCACTTGAAGGATGAGCACACGCGGGGTGATTTCTGTTCACAATCAGATCCGCTCAGGTAAAATATCGGCAATATTTGGGATGTGACCCCCATCGATATCTACAATACCTTCCAGCGTGTTCCTGCGTCCGTCCGCCCCGATGATCACATCAAACTCATAGCCCGACAAGGGGTGATCCTGAGGGAGGAACTCCGCCCTCCAACCCACTTCTGTGAAAGGAAAATGAAACCGTCACGTATCATAGAGGCGAATCAGACGATCGGAAAATGTACAAAGGCAAATTTTTGGCTTTGATTAGTCGGGGAGGTTACTGAACTACGTCGATCTGCTTCCTTCATATCGGTGCAGCAAACTAAAGCCAGCCAGTACTCTGCTAATACTGCCCAGCAAGCACTGTGCTAAAGTCACTCAGGTGCCGTCCTTCTGGAGAGAACAGCAGATGAAGGCATTGTCAGGGGGAGTCCTGTGATCTCTTTGAGAGCTTATAAATACCTGGAAGTGTTACAATAAATCATTACTTAAAGTAGAACTATGAGGTTAGGGCTTTTCCCCATAGTTCTCCTAAGGGTCACGGGAGGACACAAACTAGCGTCCTCCCGTCACCCAAAGCTCAGTATATCGCGAGCTAAAGCTTGCGGTATACTGAGACCGCCGCAGCCGGGACGGATCCCGACATTACTGTCGAGATCCACTCAGCTGCGTGATTGACAGCTGGCTCTGTCTATCTATCTAGCCAGCTGTAAACCGCCCCCTCCCCCGTCCGTCCCGCCAGTCAGCGCTGGAGGATCGGAGCGGGGAGGGGGGGAATCCCTGCAGCGACATGCAGCGACATGATCGAGAAGTGAGCAAGCGACGGTATGTGTTCGCTCACTTCCCGATCTATTGAGCCGACGTGTGACAGTTTCATTGTCACACGTCGGCTCAAACTATGAGGATGAGTGAAAATCACTCACCTCATAGTTCTCCTTTAAAGTAGAACTGAAGCCCTACCTTTTTTTAAGCTTTGGCTATAGTAAGGGAGGGTTATAACCCATTTTTTTGCCATCTGTGTCCCATTGGAGAGATTTCCCTTCACTTCCTGTCCATTAGCCACAACAGGAAGTAAGAAAATTTCTCCAAACTAAGAGAAACCCCTGGTGGTCAGCAGCACTAGTGTCCCCCATTGGAAGATTTCCCATCTTTTCCCGAGATTTGGGATTTTCTTTCACTTTCACTAATAACTGTCACCAGGACAGTTAGAGGGGACAATAAAAAGTTTTGGCTTCAGTTGCACTTTTACATGAACCGTATACATGGCACTTGGTCCTCTTTCAGGTCGGGTGCCTCGGACATACAGCGCCCCAATGCTCAGGTCAATAATTTGGGTCCTTTAGGAATACCTCCGGGACGTATTTATTTACGAGACTCGATGCCGTTTGTTTCCAACATACAATAATCCGCCGACAGTTCGCGCCGCGCGTCTGCGGCAAAGCTCCAGCATATGACACCGGCCCCCTCGCTCACTTAACAGGCTATAATTTAGGGCCCGGGCTCATTTTCATTCTCTCGGGTTTCAGAATCTTCCAAAATTCCGATTTGTCATCACTTTGTGATCATAACGAAACTTTATATCGCCTGCGCCGTCCCTTCTAAAATTATCCGGTAAGCAGTGAGCCGGCAGGGGGATTATTCGGGATAAACCGGCACGCGCTGGCAGCTATGATGAGACGGGGAGAGGCACCGACCCGCGTCCAAGTTTATCGCTGACGTGACCAGAGATTTTGGCACAAAAATTAGGGCTGGAGGATGCTGGACGACTTCCAGCCAGGAAATGAGGCGGGCTCTATCTGACTTGCTGCAGCTTCTGGTGCACATTGTGAGCAGCTCCCAGTGTGCAGTGACATCAGAGGAAGACATCTCAAATAATAAAAAGACAAGAAACGTACTTTGGTTCTCTTGATCCTCGGGGGGCTCCAGGAGTTTGACAAACTCAACATTCACGTGGATCTCTATGCCGTGCAGGAGAGCGATCTTAAACAACATCAGCTGCAGCTGCCAGATACCTGCAAAGACAGAAGATTTAGAAGAGGAGGGGAAGAGGTGAGAACTTTCCCTGTATGGACTCACCAACCTGGCATTAAAGAGAACCTGTCATGTAATAAATACTAGGGATGCACCGATACCACTTTTTTAAGACCGAGTACGAGTACCGATACTTTTGATCAAGTACTCGCCGATACCAATTACCGATACTTTTTCTTAAAGGACCAGGTCACATTTTTTCTAAAGCAATACAAACTAATGATTTTAGGTCAGTTTCTTAATATTATGATTCATGAGATGACAAGAGAGCATGACGCCGGCTTACCAGCCAATCAGAATGCCGGGCGCTGCGTCATTACAAGACACCCGGCTTCCGGATTGGCTAGCTTTCTGACCAATCGGAAAACGCGTCATTACACGCTACCCGGCTTCTCTCGTCACAAGTGACGAGAGAGCATGGAGCAGTTTCCCGGCCAATAAGGAAAATGGGCAGCGTGTAATGACGAGCTGCCCGGCTTCCTGATACAGGAAGTACTCGTGCTAGGTATCGGAGCATTTGGACTAGTATCGGTATCGGTGCATCCCTAATAAATACCCTTTAGGAAAGGAACTATACTGGAGACTGAATACAGTACTCCACTCCCTGCCGCCCTCGGCCCCTAATGCCTGATAACTGATCCCCGAAGTCCGCTGGTAAAACCAAGACTTGCATGAGAGTCCATCTTCGTGCTCCCCCGTAGCTCTCACTGGTTCCATCCTCTGACCACAGGTCACTGTAGAACATGGAGGCCATTGAGGTAAGAGGAAGGTACCAGTGAGAGCTGCAGGAGAGCATGGAAGTGGCCACTAATGGAAGTGTTGGTTTTACCGGTGGATTTTGGGGCACCAGTTCCCTGCAATGGAGCGGCATTGAGCGACACTGGTGGCAGGACACACGGTATTCCGTTTGCTTAGCAGGTATGTGCTCTCCTAAAAGTATTTTATTACAGGACAGGGTCTCTTTAAGGCATGTGCACACTAGAATATATTTGTATGGAAGAATGAAGGTCAGTGTATCCATTATGCTCTGACCCATAATAGGAATGCAGAGTAGGGCACATTTAAATGCATTTTGTATTGCCTCTCGTTAATTCCAGTGGGCTCCGAAAGAGCTTCAGCATCCAAAAAACAATACTCATTTCTGGTCAGTGCACCACAACACAGCACACGTGTATTGACATGGATGAACTGTGGTATGTTGAAGGATCATATGTGCTAATGCTCGTTAAATGTCCCCCAAAATGCACATCAACGCACACGCATACACTACTGATAACACTGCAGAATACAAAGACATTGTAGACAATTGTGCTCCTAAAGCCTTGAGTTCGGTGAAGGACCTTTTCTCCTCCACCATGACTGACCTCAACCCCACTGAACACTAGTCAGGTCCTCTCGTCCAAGAGCAGTACCTGATCCCAGAAATGCCTTTTTACCTGAACTGGCACAAATACCAAGAGATAAACTTTGGTGAAGGCCCTTTTCTCTTTCACCATGACTGAGCCTCGTGGGTATAAAGCCAGCTCCATAAAGGCACTGTGTGACCAGTTTGGTGTGGAAAAACTCGAGTGGCCTCCACAGAGCCCTGACCTCAACCCTACTGAACACCTTTGGGATGAATTGGAATGCCAATGGTGAGCCAGGTCTTCTCACCCAACATAAGTACCTGTTCTCACACATGGGCACAAGTTCCCACAGATACCCTCCAAAATTTTGTGGAAAGCTTTCCCAGAAGAGTGGAAGATGTTATATCTGGAAAAGGAGGGCAACTCCATATTAATGGCCATGGTTTTAGAATGGGATGTCCAACAAGCTCATATAGGTGTGATGGTCAGGTGTCCAAAAACCTGTGGCCATATAACGTACCTGGAAGTGCTACGCTTACACATTACTTAGCATGCATGCACCTGACATGACAATAATATATTTGATGGCACAAGCCGGCCCTGCAATGACCCTTCTCCCATGACACTCACTTATATGATCGATGGCTCCCGCGCAGAACTTTCCATAAAACTTCTTGGCTCCAAGACATCGGAGGTCATGGATGGTGTAGGGCCAGAGGTGCAGGACATTGTTTCGGGAGAAGGTGTCCCTCTTTTCCACCACGACCACTTTGGCGCCCAAACAGGCCAACTCAATGGCGGTCCGCAGTCCACAAGGGCCTCCGCCAATGATTAAGCACTAGAAGAAAAAAACAAGGGTTAACGTTAGTGCATAGGGAGACATAGGCAGCAACAAATACATATGTATTCAGGAGAGTTGAAAAAGGTTACAATATCCATGTGGCTTTTATTGGTTTATGTGTTCTGGTGACATGGACAGGAAGTGGACAGGAACTGAGGGGAAATCTCAACAGGGACACAAAGAAGACTAGACAGTATTTTGCAGAAGATACTGCCGCTCTTGTGGGATGTTCCCAGTCTGCAGTGCTCAGGACCGACCAAAAGTGGTCCAAGGAAGGAAAACCGGTGAACCGGGTCATGGGCGGCCAAGGCTCACTGATGCCTCTTAGGAGCGAAGGCTAGTCAGTGCAGTACGATCCAATAGAAGAGCTTCTGTAACTCAAAGTTAATTCTGGTTCCATTAGGAAGGTGTCTGAACACACAGAGCACCCCATTTTGTTACATATGGAGCTGCGTAGCCGCAGACTGGTCCACCCATGACCCATGTCCACCGCAAAAAGTGCCTACAGTGGGATCATGAGCATACAAACTGGACCACGAAGCAATGGAAGAAGGTGGCCTGGTCTGATGAATCATGTTTTCTTTTACATCATGTGGATGGCCGGGTGTGCGTGTGTGTCACTTACCTGGGGAAGAGATGGCACCAGGATGCACTATGGGAAGAAGACAAGCCTGCAGAGGCAGTGTGATGCTTTGGGAAATGTTCTGCTGGGAAACCTCGGGTCCTGCCATTCGTGTGGATGTCACTTTGACACGTACCACCAACCTAAATATTGTTGCTGACCAAGTACACCCCGTCATGGAAACGGTATTCCCTGATGGCAGTGGCCTCTTCCAGCAGGATAATGAGCCCCCTGCCACACTGCAAAAATGGTCGAAGAATGGTTTGAGGAACACGACAACGAGTCTGAGGTGATGACTTGGCCTCCAAATTCTCCAGATCTCAATCCAATCATCATCTGTGGGATGTACTGGAGAGACAAGTCCGATCCATGAAGGCCGATCACCTCACAACTTACAGGACTTAAAGGATCTGCTACTGACAGCTTGGTGCCAGATACCACAGCACACCTTCAGAGGTCTAGTGGAGTCCATGTCTTGTCGGGTCAGGAGAAGGGGGAACTACTCAGTATTAGGAGGGGGACACACATCTAGGTACCACAGCATACCATCAGAGGTCTAGTGGAGTCCATGTCTTGTCGGGTCAAGAGAAGGGGGACCTACTCAATATTAGGGGGGGACACATATAGGTACCACAGCATACCATCAGAGGTCTAGTGGAGTCCATGCCTTAATGGTCAGAAAAAGGGGACCTACTCAATAATATTAGGGGGGGGTTATAATGTTATGGCTTATCGGTGTGTATATATATATATATATATATACATGTCAAAGTCATTTTGTATAACGGCAGGACGCATCTGTTTTGCGAAGCTGAAAAACGATGACCTCACCCGCGGTTATTTCCATGTTTGACCGGAGCGCACCTCTGTACGAGAGTTGGAAGCGCTGTCGGCACCCCCCGTCCCGGGAATTCCAGGCCTGTTAAAACACAGCCGGGTGTTGTGCTAATTAATCTTTGACATTAGACATCATCGGTACAATGGCTGGATGAGGTAAGGGGGTCGGTCATGGCATTTCTGAGCGGTTACATCATCCCTGATAGCGGAGGCACCCCACAAAACACCGCCAGCGGGCGCGATAAGACCGCGGAGGGGTGCGGGCCGCACGTCGCTTCATTCTGTTCCATGTCTGTGGAAGTTGACTGTTTTATAACAAATCCGTCATTGAAGCGAATCTCAAGCCAAAAGTTTTGTTTTTTTTTAACTTGCGGACAGAGCAGGGAAAGGTGACAACGTCTGTCAGCTGTTGCTGATCTCTGTGACCCCATTGGGGAGCTTTTCCTTCACTTTCTTTCCTGGTGTCACCAGAAGATCTAAGAGGCACACAACAGTAAAGAGTGAGGGAAGTGTTATCATTGCTGTGTGCCACCACTCGGAAATGTTAGATCCGGTGACATCATCACTGGGTTCCTGTGCTTGTAGACAATGCAGGCTGATCATGACTGGTGGGAGGGGTCATCAGGATGCTGTACATAGCTTCCTGAAACCATCACAGTGCCCTGCCTCAGTACTCACCTCAAGAGCCCTGATGCAAACAGTGGGCGGGCTGTTGGGAGGAGTTATGCAAATATCAAACTGTTTTGATGGGCGGGTGTCAGTCTGGAGAAGTGTGCGTTCCTAGGCAGGCTGAAATTGCATGCAGACCACGCTAGGTAACGCCCACAGAACCAATCGATTAGTTGAAAAAATAATCGGGTAAGTAATCGATTATGAGAATAATCGTTAGCTGCAGCCCTACTCCAGACTCCCAGAGATTGAAATTTCCTAGCTGGAAATTCAGCCCAGAGGACGCACTTCAACCAGAAATAAAGCTACGGGGTGGAGTCACCCTTTAAGTGAGCACTGTTTGCCATCGCCATAGAAATAACACAACCTTTAAAAAACAAAAAACGACCCGTCAGCCGGAGACAAAACCATTTCCTCGCCCGTGTTGGGCAGACGGGATTACTCATCCCTAAAAATACATTCCTCCTTCCAAAATCGCTGATGATGACATGCCGTCCTCTCTACACAAAGAAAACATCGAGCGGCCGGGTCCACAAAGCACAAAATCCTCAGCAGATGTTATCGGCGACGCCGGCTTGCGAGGGAACGGCGTGTTCACAATGCGGTAAAGTGGACCTGTCATCAGATTCCATGTTAAATCCACGCATGGCGAGTACTATGTCATTGACACACTTCCAGGCATGTATCACTTGTCATAGAGATCACAGGATGATGCCTGAATCTTCAGAAAGACAGCGCCGTCTTTGTTCAGGCATCATCCAGGGTCGCCATCTACTTCCTGCACTGACATTCCACACATAATATATATATATATACAGGTGAAACTCGAATAATTAGAATATCGTGCAAAGTTCATTTATTTCACTAATGCAACTTAAAAGGGGAAACTAATATATGAGAGAGACTCATTACATGCAAAGCAAGATAGTTCAAGCCGTGATTTGTCATCATTGTGATGATTATGGCTTAAACCAGCAGACTGATCACAGGGGAAGAGACTGAGGAAATGCTTCTGCCTGCTTATAGCAGACTGATCACTGGGGAGGGGAGACTGAGGAAATGCTTCCTCCTGCCTGCAAAGTCTTGACTTGAAGAAAAAGCTACAAACTTTCCACTGCCGATTACTCGGTGATACAGGAATGAAAAACAAAATCAGCATTGCAATATGGCGGCTCAGGAACATCTCTGTTCTCTCATCATATGTGTAAGACATATAAAAATAGAAACTTCCCGCACATTCCCCGTTACCCGGCCGGCTCAGCCGAACCTCTGGAAAGTCTGATTCCTGGTTGTCACACTTTCCCAGCCGCCCCAGAGGGCTCGTCAGCCAGCAGAAGAGAAAACATGAACAGAAAGAACAGGATGTCCCGGGCTGTGAGGATGAGACGGGACGTGTACAAGAATGTTCAGCTGGAATTATATATATATATCATCAGATGTACGATCTATACCTGGATGGTGCGGAGAAAGGCCTTGTTACTGCCTGCTGGGAGTTGTAGTCCACCCACAGCTGGAGAAAGGAAGATTGTACACAGGTATAAAAATGGGAGTCGGGATCCAGACAAAATCCTGAACATTCGCTTTATTAGTGTTTCAGGGGGTCTCAAACCTCCGGCCCTCCAGCTGTGGGGTGGAACTACAAATCCCATGAGGCATTGCAAGATTCTCACAGCCACAGACATGACTGCGGAAGAGAGATGCATCATGGGATTTGTAGTTTCACCACAGCTGGAGGGCCGGAGGTTTGAGACCCCTGTGGCATGCTGATGAAGCAAATGAGGATTCTAGGCTCACGTTCATGGCCATCAATGCGTTACGAATGCGCGCGCGTTATAAACATCACCACCGCGACTCGGAGTTCACATTTCAGGTGCTGGGTGAATGTGGTAGACGGAGGTGAATGTGCGGCTGAATCCATACTTCAGAACTACAAAGAAATGTCCGTTAGACGTGCTGATCACATGACTTTGTTTATAAATACAGTAATACCTTGGTTTACGAGCATAATTCGTTCCGGCAGCATGCTTGTAATCCAAAGCGCTTGTATATCAAAGCGAATTTCCCCAGAGGAAATAATGGAAATTCAGATGATTCGTTCCACAACCCAAAAATATTCATATAAAAATGATTACAATACTGTACTGTAATATAATACTGTACAAAATATAAAGAAAAATTAACTGATTACCGGTACCTTTTGTGGCCGGTGTGAGGGGGACAAGAGAGAGGAGGATTATTGTGTAGGATGACTTTCACTATCACTAGCGGAATCACTGCTATCTCTCGGCTCAATGGAATCTTTTTCATTTTGTGAAACCTTAATAAGGAATCTATTCAATGTGACATTGTGTTGTCGTTAAACAGACTCATCGCTCGCACTGCTACAGCCTTATTCGGTGGCGGTTTTCTGCAGAATTTTGCTCTTATTGCAAGACATTGCTTGTATATCAAAGCAAAATTTTTCAGAAATGTTTGCTTGTCTTGCAAAACGCTCTCAAACCAAGTTACTTGTAAACCAAGGTATTACTGTAAAGCGCTATGGGCAGAGTTAGGGGGGCTGTTAGGGTGACATCAGGATCAGAATTTGGGTCAGAATTACGGGTTAACATTAGTGTTAGGGTTAAGGTAAATGTCCGGGTTTAGCATTTGGGTTGGAATTCAAGTTGGCTTTAGAGTTAGTCTTAACTCTAACCCTAATGCCAGCTCTAACCCTATCCCTAACTCTAACCCTAATGCCAGCTCTAACCCTATCCCTAACTCTAACCCTAACCCTAACTCTAACCCTATCCCTAACTCTAACCCTAATGCTAGCTCTAACCCTATCCCTAACTCTAACCCTAATGCCAGCTCTAACCCTATCCCTAACTCT